GGTCGAGTGGTCTAAGGCGCTGTGTTAAGGTTTCAGTCTCTTCTGGAGGTGTGGGTTCAAATCCAACTTCTGACATGCTGCACTTTGTTGATAAGACTGTTCATAATGTAGTTGACATGCTGGGGTGCAGTTGAGTCGGGCAGGTGTGGTTAGTGTGAATGTGATCTCACGGCAGGTGTTGGGTTTAGTTTGATTACCTGCCTTATTCATGTGCTTGTGTTTCCTGAGGGCGTCGCTCGTGATTGTGTTTATATATGTATGATTGTGTTTATACAACTTAAACACCGGTCTTACCACTAGACAACCAGGGATGAAAACCAAGAAAATGGTGGCCTCTACACTGGTTCTGCTGGCCAGTGTCTTCCATCAAAAGCTCATAGAAAATCACATGAGCATCAGCACAGGACCATGGAGCAGTAAGAAGGTGGCTTGGTCTGAGGAATATGTTTTCTTTCACACCATGTACAGCTTAGGGTTATAATAATAATAATAATAATAAATAATAATAAACTTTATTGGGGTTAGAAATGGCTCGAAAAGACTGAAAAAACGCGCTTTGCCCAGGAGTTGCACTTAATCCTTGTCTCTACAGCTCAATTCCTGGTAAGGCTTTGAAAAGGCAGCTTGGCCAAGGAGTTGCACTTAATCCTTGTTGTCTGACGCTCCATTCCTGGTAAGGCTTGTAAAAGGCAGCTTAGCCAAGGAGTTGCACTTAAGCCTTGTCTTACGCTCCATCCCTGGAAAGGCTTGTAAAGACGGTCCAATAGAATGGTTAGGCCCGCTGCTCAACCATTCACACTAAATGTAAGCTAACAACTAAACTGTATTATCTCTCTTAACATACTAGAAATGTATTAAATGGTAAAACAGGATATTTGCTGGAATTACTGACTGCTACCGCTGGTGAGTGGCGTAGCTCCTTTGAGTTAAATGTTTTGTAACTGTGTTTTACGTCAAGTATTAAATGATGTGTATTAACCGTTGCACCCTTGAGCAGTAAGAAGGTGGCTTGGTCTGAGGAATCACGTTTTCTTTCACATCATGTACAGCTTAGGGTTGGGGTTAGAAATGGCTTGAAAAAGGCTTGAAAAGACGCAGGCCAAGGGTTGCACTTAAGCCCTGTCTTATGCTCCATTCCTGCTAAGGCTTCTAAAGACGGTCCAATAGAATGGTTGGCCCGCCGCTCAACCATTCACACTAAATGTAAGCTAACGACTAAAGTGTATTATCTCTCTTAACATACTAGAAATGTATTTAATGGTTAAACGGGATATTTCCTGGAATTCCTGACTGCTACCGCTGGTGAGTGGCGTAGCTCCTTTGAGTTAAATGTTTTTGTAACTGTGTTTTACGTCAAGTATTAAATGATGTGTATTAACCGTTGCACCCTTGAGCAGTAAGAAGGTGGCTTGGTCTGAGGAATCACGTTTTCTTTCACATCATGTACAGCTTAGGGTTGGGGTTAGAAATGGCTTGAAAATGCTTGAAAAAGACGCTTGGCCAAGGAGTTGCACATAAGCCTTGTCTTACGCTCCATTCCTGGTAAGCGCTAAAGCGCAGCAGGAGTGATTAAGCGGTGTCTTACGCTCCATTCCTGCTAAGGCTTGTAAAGACAGTCCGATAGAATGGTAGAGCCCGCCGCTCAGCCATTCACACTAAATGTAAGCTAACGACTAAAGTGTATTATCTCTCTTAACATACTAGAAATGTATTTAATGGTAAAAAGGGATATTTCCTGGAATTCCTGACTGCTACCGCTGGTGAGTGGAGTAGCTCCTTTGAGTTAAATGTTTTGTAACTGTGTTTTACGTCAAGTATTAAATGATGTGTATTAACCGTTGCACCCCAGAGCAGTAAGAAGGTGGCTTGGTCTGAGGAATCACGTTTTCTTTCACATCATGTACAGCTTAGGGTTGGGGTTAGAAATGGCTTGAAAAGGCTTGAAAAGACGCAGCCAAGAGTTGCACTTAAGCCTTGTCTTACTCTCCATTCCTGCTAAGGCTTGTAAAGCATGGGCAGCTCGGCAGAGTTGCACTTAAGCCTTGTCTTACGCTCCATTCCTGGTAAGGCTTGTAAAGGCGGCTAGCACGTGGGAAATGACCAAAACATAAAAAAGCCAAGGAATTGCACTTAAGCCTTGTCTCATGGTTCTTTCGCGTGGTGTGCAAAAGAATAGAGCACCGGTGTTAGCAAACAGACTCCCCGTCGGGAATCGAACCCGGTCTTCCGCGTGACAGGCGGAGATACTGTCCACTATACTAACGAGGAAATCCTACTTACGTGCTGAAAGACGGTTGGCACTTTGGATAGCATCAAACATAAACGATAAAACCATAAATGATCCAAGAAATTGCACTTAAGCCTTGTCCTGTGCCCCATACCCGTGATGGCCAACAGAATATGGCACTGGACTTGAACTGCACTGGGGCTTTACCTGTGCAAGTTGAAGCCTGCTATGAACCTGAGTCTTAATGCAGAGAATCTTTATGAAGATGAGCAACAAAGCACCATGGCATTCATCAAACAAGCTCGTGCCAAACACATCTTCCATCCTGGGAAATTGCATTGACGTAAAGGAAGTCAAACGAATCCTGCTTTGAGACAATGTCCACTGTAAAAGCGCTACACAAATAAAATTGATTTGAACTGAATCGAATGTGTACATGTAAAGTTGTAAATGGTCTAGTTACTTAATTGAAGTAAATGTATTGAAGAAGGGCAGAAACATGAGAATATAAAGATGCACAAAAACCGTTTATTGGCTCCAGAAAAAATAGTCTAGTGTTTCCTTAAATCACTTTGCCTGACCGGGAATCGAACCCGGGCCGCGGCGGTGAGAGCGCCGAATCCTTACCACTAGACAACCAGGGACGAAAACCAAGAAAATGGTGGCCTCTACACTAGCTATGCTGGCCAGTTTCTTCCATCAAAAGCTCATAGAAACTGCACATGAGCATCAGCACAGGACAGTGGAGCAGTAAGAAGGTGGCTTGGTCTGAGGAATCACGTTTTTCTTTCACATCATGTACAGCTTAGGGTTGGGGTTAGAAATGGCTTGAAAAGGCTTGAAAAGATGCTTGGCGCCAGGAGTTGCGCTTACGCCCTGTCTTACGCTCCATTCCTGCTAAGGCTTGTAAAGACGGTCCAATAGAATGGTTGGCCCGCTGCTCAACCATTCACACTAAATGTAAGCTAACAACTAAACTGTATTATCTCTCTTAACATACTAGAAATGTATTAAATGGTAAAACAGGATATTTGCTGGAATTACTGACTGCTACCGCTGGTGAGTGGCGTAGCTCCTTTGAGTTAAATGTTTTGTAACTGTGTTTTTACGTCAAGTATTAAATGATGTGTATTAACCTGTTGCACCCTTGAGCAGTAAGAAGGTGGCTTGGTCTGAGGAATCACGTTTTCTTTCACATCATGTACAGCTTAGGGTTGGGGTTAGAAATGGCTTGAAAAGGCTTGAAAAGACAGCTTAGCCAAGGAGTTGCACTTAAGCCCTGTCTTATGCTCCATTCCTGCTAAGGCTTGTAAAGGCGGTCCAATAGAATGGTTTGACCGCGCGCTTAGCATAGCCTTGTCCTGTGCCCATACCCGTGATGGCCAACAGAATATGGCACTGGACTTGAACTGCACTGGGGCTTTACCTGTGCAAGTTGAAGCCTGCTATGAACCTGAGTCTTAATGCAGAGAATCTTTATGAAGATGAGCAACAAAGCACCTTGGCATTCATCAAACAAGCTTCGTGCCAAACACATCTTCCATCCTGGGAAATTGCATTTGGACGTAAAGGAAGTCAAACGAATCCTGCTTTGAGACAATGTCCACTGTAAAAGCGCTACACAAATAAAATTGATTTGAACTGAATCCGAATGTGTACATGTAAAGTTGTAAATGGTCTAGTTACTTAATTGAAGTAAATGTATTTTGAAGAAGGGCAGAAACATGAGAATATAAAGATGCACAAACACGTTTATTGGCTCCAGAAAAAATAGTCTAGTGTTTCCTTAAATCACTTTGCCGCTTTGCTTGTGAAGAGCAAAATTCGAATAGAAAATCGATCTCGTTTGCTAGCTCACTTATCAAAGATAACTATAAAATACTTTATATTATAAAATACTATTAGTAACCCATAATTAACTAAATGGTCTGGCCCCCCAGGGGTATCTAAGCGACCTTTTGCTTTTCTATGATCCGCCACGCCTACTTAGATCAAAAGATGCAGGCTATTTGTTACGTACCTCGAATCGCGAAGGCTACAACAGGAGGATGAGCTTTCTCTTCTGGGCGCCCACACTTATGGAACAGTCTTCCAATTAGAGTTCGGGACTCAGGCACAGTCTCAGTGTCTAGGCTTTAATCGTATTTGTTTAATCAAGCCTACCCTGACTAGACTTTCTCTTATGCTAAGCACAGTCCTAGTTTTTTTCTCTCCCTCCCTCCTTCTGTCGAGCCACACCCGATTTTATGGAGATACTAGAGATCCTGATCCCCTCTGCTCTCTGGACCTACCTGATCCATTTTGGATGGCCTACCTCTGGATGGAGCTCTCATCTACTCAAATTCCAGATTGCTGGGACTACAGCTGCTTCTAAGGGCCAAAGAGACTCCATATGAATCCCATAATCATCTTTTTCACACTATCTGATGTTACCCAGATGAGGATAGGTTCCCTTCTGATTCTGGTTCCTCTCAAGGTTTGTTCCTCTTAACATCTTAGGGAGTTTTTCCTTGCCACCGTCACCACTTAGTGGCTTGCTCAGTTGGGATAAATTCGCACCTTATATATCGATATACCGAATGGTTTTATAGATATACATGGATTGGGCTTCGCTTCACCTCCGATAGCTCAGTTGGTAGAGCGGAGGACTGTAGGTACTTAAACTAGTCATCCTCAGGTCACTGGTTTCAATCCGGCTCGAAGGACGGATTTCTCTGTGAGATATGGTTTCTTTTTAAATGTTTTAATTTGGCCAGCGGTGGATAAAACACCATTCCCTGACCGGGAACCGAACCCGGGCCGGCCGGTGAGGCGCCGAATCCTTACCAATAGACAACCAGGGACGAAAACCAAGAAAATGGTGGCCTCTACACTAGCTATGCTGGCCAGTTTCTTCCATCAAAAGCTCATAGAAACTGCACATGAGCATCAGCACAGGACAGTGGAGCAGTAAGAAGGTGGCTTGGTCTGAGGAATCACGTTTTCTTTCACATCATGTACAGCTTAGGGTTGGGGTTAGAAATGGCTTGAAAAGGCTTGAAAAGATGCTTGGCCAAGGAGTTGCACTTAAGCCCTGTCTTACGCTCCATTCCTGCTAAGGCTTGTAAAGACGGTCCAATAGAATGGTTAGGCCCGCGCTCAACCATTCACACTAAATGTAAGCTAACGACTAAAGTGTATTATCTCTCTTAACATACTAGAAATGTATTTAATGGTAAAACGGGATATTTCCTGGAATTCCTGACTGCTACACGCTGGTGAGTGGAGTAGCTCCTTTGAGTTAAATGTTTTGTAACTGTGTTTTACGTCAAGTATTAAATGATGTGTATTAACCGTTGCACCTTACCTAGACAGTATGAAGGTGGCTTGGTTATGCCATAGACTGAAAACACCTGACACTGATTTCCCCTTCAAACTAACAGCTCACGCTTATGCCCCAACTTGCTAGCACTTACTTTAAAACTGCAGTAAATGTGCTACAATTAGGGTGAGCTTTCAACCGAGAAACATCGTGGGACTCACACAAAGTAAGTAATGTCAAATACACAGATGAGACTGCCCCAAAAAGTAGCACTTATTGATGAAATCAGTGCTTCTATTTCAAGTAATGTAATGGTGTTTTATTTGGAAAGTATTGGTTATACCGAGCATGGTCCACGCCGCTGTAGCTTATGTGTGTCAGGATGGCACTGTGCATAGAAAGAACCAACTCCACTGCTTTGTTGCCGAAATACCTGAGCAGGGTCCCTAAGTGAAGCCTATACTTTTCTCAAACAAATTGCATGGGAATACGTTCAGACATTGGTCGACGATGAAGCGAAAGGCTGTTTTATGTAGTTGTGGCCGAGTGGTTAAGGCGATGGACTAGAAATCCATTAGGGTCTCCACCGCGCGGTTCGACTCCTGCCAACTACGTCTGAAGTTTGGTTTGCCTTTCAGACAGGCCAGTACTTGGCTAGCATTAGTGACAATCTTCCTCACTGTGCATTAATTGCTGTTCACAGTTGTTACATACCTGCTACTGAGCATTTGCCAATTGAACAAATGCAATGCTTTTCATTCTGAGTCCGGTGTCATTCCAATGAATGTTCAGGATCTGCCCAGCATCAAAATGAAAAGGGACAATAGCTCTGATGATAGTTCATGTGAGAAGAAAAAACAAACAAACACACAGTTGGCAGAATAAATTTCACCAAATTCACTGGGAACAGTTCAACTTAATCTGTATGAAGTGAAAAAATGTCACCGTTTCAACATTTCATATAATTGCTGTCACTGAAAGGTATCAAGGCTTTCAGAAAATCACATTAAAACTGAAGTATATGTGATACAATTGGGGTAACATCCAGAGATACATTGCAGCAGTCACAGAAGACAGTAATTTCATATTATTGCTGTCACTGAAAGGTATCAAGGCTTTCAAGAAAATCACATTAAAACTGAAGTATATGTGATACAATTGGGGTAACATCCAGAGATACATTGCAGCAGTCACAGAAGACAGTAAAGTCAAATACACAGATGAGACTGCCCCAACGAGAAACACTACGAATGTAATGCAAATCAAGTTGCTCCTATTTGAAGTAATCGAATTGTGATTTCTTTTGAAAGTATTGGATGTTGTCCAAACTGTTTAACGTTTAATACATTGTAAACAAAAATATAGTATCTTTAGTTGATTGAATCACCCAACATCACCCCAACAAATAGTACTTACCATTCAGGAAGGTCAGAGCCATTGATAGGATATCCGCGGTGACAATAAAGACAAAGATAGGTGGTCTACTTCTTTGCATCTTCTCCTGCCATGTTTACCATGACAAATGTAATCAGTGCATGCCTGCTTTCCTAGAAGTTGTCCACTGAGAGTTTACCAGTTGACCAACTTTTTCATTCTGAGGGGCCTGAGTCAAGTGATGTTCATTGCAATGCTTGGCGTCTGATGGTAAATTGAGATGATTCACAGTCCAACCCACAGAAGCCAATGTGACAATAGAAGTGATGATGGCAGATCACTCCTTGTGAATGAACCAGGTCATTCCACGTTGACAAACAGTTATCACGCTAGGTTGAGAGTAGGTACACAGCCAAATGATGCTCTCACTGATGTATTAAAAAGTATTGCTCTAAGAGATTTCAACACATGTTTCACTAAGCATATGTGCAGAATTTTAAATAGATATTTTAAGAGAACACACTTAGTTAGAATCTCAACAACAATGAATGTGATTATAGTTTCACACTCCACATTTGTGTGTGTCCAAATTCACTGAAAGTTGCCCCAGCTTGTTAGCACTTACTTTAAAACTGCAGTAAATGTGCTACAATTAGGGTGACTTTCACCGAAGCTATCGCAGGACTCACACAAAGTAAGTAATGTCAAATACACAGCTGAGACTGCCCCAAAGAGTAGCACTTATTGATGAAATCAGTGCTTCTATTTCCTGTAATGTAATGGTGTTTAATTTGGACAGTATTGTCTGTCAAACTACGAATGAGAACTTGCATTAAACCTGCATTAAAAGTCTTCTTGATTCAAATCCAGACTGTGCACAGCAGATTGGCAGTCCATCAACTTAACCTATTGCTGACATAACTCACACTTATGAAATTACATGCCAGTCTGTTGGGTCTGTGGAGAATAAAAGGATGTGATGCACATTGTTTGCCATTGCAATTCTAGCTTTTCATGTTTCTCCACCCACACTTGTTCTGTCTCATGGATCTGTCCAGAGCCTGTCACCTGTAGGCCTTGTATGTGTGAGACAGACTGCACCCAAGCCAGAGGTTGTTGTAAAGTGGAGGCAAAACAACCTGTCTGCGATGAGGGTGGGACTCGACCTGCAGCGTGCAGAGCACAATGGATGAACAGTCCATGCGCCTTAACCTCTCGGCCACCTCATCCAAAGCCTTTTTTCCCAGATCCTCACAAATAAAATTTTTGCCTAGCATGATACACTTTAACAAACATGTGTTGTGAAGGTCAGACTTTGACTGATCCCTGTTCCTCAAATCAGACATGGTACTCACTCACACCTGATTGTTATGCCATAGACTGAAAACACCTGACACTGATTTCCCCTTCAAACTAAAGTCGAACGTATGCCCTAACTTGCTAGCACTTACTTTAAAACTGCAGTAAATGTGCTACAATTAGGGTGACTTTCAGCCGAGAAACATCGCAGGACTCACACAAAGTAAGTAATGACAAATACACAGATGAGACTGCCCCAAAGAGTAGCACTTATTGATGAAATCAGTGCTTCTATTTCAAGTAATCTAATTGTGCTTTATTTGGAAAGTATTGGCTATACCCGAGCATGGTCCACGACACTGTAGCTTAAGTGTGTCAGGATGGCCGCCGGTCCAAGGCGCTGCGTTCAGGTGCCAGTCTCCCCTGGAGGCGTGGGTTCAAATCCCATTTCTGACATTTGGTTTCCTTTGCTGCACCTCTGATGAGGGGGTATTGGGCTGTTCCTGAGAGCTTGTTTAAATAAATGCCCCTGCATAGTTTGGAATTTCCTTTGCATAGTTTTTTGGGTCTTTTTAGTCAGGATGGTCGAGTGGTCTAAGGCGCTGTGTTAAGGTTTCAGTCTCTTCTGGAGGTGTGGGTTCAAATCCCACTTCTGACATGCTGCACTTTGTTGATAAGACTGTTCATAATGTAGTTGACATGCTGGGGTGCAGTTGAGTCGGGCAGGTGTGGTTAGTGTGAATGTGATCTCACGGCAGGTGTTGGGTTTAGTTTGATTACCTGCCTTATTCATGTGCTTGTGTTTCCTGGGGCGGCGCTCGTGATTGTGTTTATATATGTATGATTGTGTTTATACAACTTAAACACCGGTCTTACCACTAGACAACCAGGGATGAAAACCAAGAAAATGGTGGCCTCTACACTGGTTATGCTGGCCAGTGTCTTCCATCAAAAGCTCATAGAAAATCACATGAGCATCAGCACAGGACCATGGAGCAGTAAGAAGGTGGCTTGGTCTGAGGAATCATGTTTTCTTTCACACCATGTACAGCTTAGGGTTATAATAATAATAATAATAATAATAATAATAATAAACTTTATTGGGGTTAGAAATGGCTCGAAAAGGCTTGAAAGACGCTTTGCCCAGGGTTGCACTTAATCCTTGTCTTACGCTCAATTCCTGGTAAGGCTTGAAAAGAGCGCAGCCAAGGGTTACACTTAATCCTTGTCTTCCGCTCCATTCCTGGTAAGGCTTGTAAAAGGCGCTTAGCCAAGGAGTTGCACTTAAGCCTTGTCTTCCGCTCCATCCCTGGAAAGGCTTGTAAAGGCGGTCCAATAGAATGGTTAGCCCGCTGCTCAACCATTCACACTAAATGTAGCTAACAACTAAACTGTATTATCTCTCTTAACATACTAGAAATGTATTAAATGGTAAAACAGGATATTTGCTGGAATTACTGACTGCTACCGCTGGTAAGTGGCGTAGCTCCTTTGAGTTAAATGTTTTGTAACTGTGTTTTGTCGTCAAGTATTAAATGATGTGTATTAACCGTTGCACCCTTGAGCAGTAAGAAGGTGGCCTGGTCTGAGGAATCACGTTTTCTTTCACATCATGTACAGCTTAGGGTTGGGGTTAGAAATGGCTTGAAAAGGCTTGAAAAGACGCTGCCAAGGAGTGTACTTAAGCCCTGTCTTATGCTCCATTCCTGCTAAGGCTTCTAAAAAACGGTCCAATAGAATGGTTAGGCCCGCCGCTCAACCATTCACACTAAATGTAAGCTAACGACTAAAGTGTATTATCTCTCTTAACATACTAGAAATGTATTTAATGGTAAAACGGGATATTTCCTGGAATTCCTGACTGCTACCGCTGGTGAGTGGCGTAGCTCCTTTGAGTTAAATGTTTTGTAACTGTGTTTTAACGTCAAGTATTTATATATGATTTTGCACCCTTGAGCAGTAAGAAGGTGGCTTGGTCTGAGGAATCACGTTTTCTTTCACATCATGTACAGCTTAGGGTTGGGGTTAGAAATGGCTTGAAAATGCTTGAAAAGGCAGCAGCCCCAGGAGTTGCACTTAAGCCTTGTCTTACGCTCCATTCCTGGTAAGCCTTGTAAAGGCATGCGCAAGGGTTGCACTTAAGCCGTGTCTTACGCTCCATTCCTGCTAAGGCTTGTAAGGCGGCTTGGCCAAGGGTTGCACTTAAGCCTTGTCTTACGCTCCATTCCTGGTAAGGCTTGTAAAGCGCGGCTTAGCGTGGGGAAATGACAAAAACATAAAAAGCAAGGTGCACTTAAGCCTTGTCTCATGGTTCTTTCCGCGTGGTGTGCAAAGAATAGAGCACCGGTGTTAGCAAACAGACTCCCCGTCGAGAATCGAACCCGGTCTTCCAGCGTGACAGGCAGGAGATACTGTCCACTATACTAGCGAGGAAATCCTACTTCGTGCTGAAAGCGGGTTGGCACTTTGGATAGCATCAAACATAAGCGATAAAACCATAAATGATCCAAGAAATTGCACTTAAGCCTGTGTCCTGTGCCCCATACCCGGGGTGGCCAACAGAATATGGCACTGGACTTGAACTGCACTGGGGCTTTTACTCTGTGCAAGTTGAAGCCTGCTATGAACCTGAGTCTTAATGCAGAGAATCTTTATGAAGATGAGCAACAAAGCACCATGGCATTCATCAAACAAGCTCGTGCCAAACACATCTTCCATCCTGGGAAATTGCATTGGCGTAAAGGGAAGTAAGCGAATCCTGCTTTGAGACAATGTCCACTGTAAAGCGCTACACAAATAAAATTGATTTGAACTGAATCGAATGTGTACATGTAAAGTTGTAAATGGTGTAACAGAGTTAATTAAAAGGGGGGGACTCAGGCACAGATCTAAGCGACCTTTTGCTTTTCTATGATCGCCCGCCTACTTAGATCAAAGATGCAGGCTAAGGTACCTCGAGATAGCGAAGGCACAACAAGAGGATGAGGTTTTACTACAGAGCCCACACTTATGGAAAGTGTTGTTGGGTCTCAGTGTCTAGGCTTTAATGCGTATTTGTTTAATCACGCCTACCCTGACTAGACTTTTCGACAGCGCTGCTTCCGGCTTAGCGCTGCTTCGACTACAGCGCTGCTTCCCGGCTTGGCGCTTCTTCGACTTGTTTTATTACTCTTCTTTTATATTTCTATTTTAAAAATTATATATATTTACTTGAATTTCACAAATATAAACACAGTAGTTTAGATAAAACTAATAGTAATATTGTGGTGTCGCTAAATTCTGGTTTGTTTGTACAAACAACGACTAGCTACGATTAGCTTTAGCCCGCTAGCATCATGATTAGTAGTAACCGCTAGCATCACCTACACTAGCCTACCATTACGTTTGTATTTCATATTTTGAATTTATAACTGTTCTTTTTAAAAAAACAAACAAACTTATATTCCACCGTCTCTCCTGTTCTGAGTGCAGATGACTCGCTCGAGCTTCACATGGTGTTGCTGGAACTGGAGGGATGTGGAGAGGAGGATCCTTGGCCTACTTGACCAGCAGGCCCAGCTGCAGGAGCGCGAGACTACGCTGGAATCATCTTGTGCTTCTGTCCACACACCAAGGTAAACACACAGTGTGGGTATGTTCCCTCCCAGCCCCTCTCGCCCGTGTGTTTCTCTGTGCAAGGGATCGGTGCAGCCAGGACCTTCCCAGCCATGGTCTCCATCACCCAGCGGCCAACACCACCGGCGCTTGGGTGAACCAGGGCGGGGAAGGCCGCTCCCCGTGCGAAGGTCTCTCCACCACCGGTGTTCCAGATTCCAACCGGAAGCCGCTGCCCTCTCTGCCAGACCAGACCCGCGCTGTGATGTCCGGAGAACTCCATCGTCTTGCAGCGATCCGTGTAGCTTCATCAAAGGTAAGGTGCACACACATACTGTTTTCTGGTGCTTTGGTGTTCTTGATATGCGCTGTGCAGGTATCCAGGATCCTGAAGGACGCAGCGCATGGAGCGGTTGTGCTGCACAGGGACGGAACGAACACCAGGCTGACAGGCGGAGGGTTCTGAAGAGGGACTTCACCAGCCTGATCGAGACGGTGCAAGGCAGATCACCCACAGCGAGGATCATCGTCTCTGGACCTACTTCCCACATTCAGGCGTGGAGCAGAAAAGTTCAGTAGACTTCTCCGCTTTCAATGAATGGTTAGTCTCTTGGTGTAATGAGCAGAATCTAGTGTTTGTTAATAACTGGAATCTGTTTTGGGGCGCCCTAGGCTGTTTACGTCCTGATGGCCTGCACCCCAGCAGCGTTGGAGACGGACCCGCTGTCGAGAACATCTCAAAGGGCGCTTCACTCAAAAGTGACTCTACCGTAAGTACATCTTCTGACAATAACAGTCAGTTTAATCAATGTTCATTTAATAGTCAATCACCAGTAATAAATACTATTGAGACTGTGTCTGTTCCCGAGCTATACACATAAATGAAATCTACGTAACCTTGTACCTAATTAACATAAAATTAAATCATATTGAATCGAAAACACAGCCAACATTTTTGATCTGAAGCTAGGACTATTAAGCGTTAGATCTCTTAGGTGGGGGCTTTGTCTAAGGCTCTTAGTTGCGACATCATTACTGACCAGGAATGTAATTTAATGTGTTTCGGAAGCTTAGGTTAAAGTAGCAAAAGAGTACTGCATTAAATGAAGCCAGTCCTCCTGGATACAGTTATGTACATCAGCCTCGTTCAACTGGTAGAGGTGGAGGTATTTGGTCTTATCCATAGTGAAAATCTAAGTCGTCACACAAAACTATAGTCATAAGTTTAATTCCTTTGAAATTCTTTATACCAGTGTAAATCCATAGCCAAAAAAAAAAGGTCAATTCCTCTAATTATTATTTACAGACGGCCTTATCGGCCCTAGGGCGGGCGCGGGCCTTATATTCTGAATTTCTTGGTGTTTGCAGACTTTTTGTATCAAACCTGGTTGTGTCTGTAAATAAAGGTGTATGGAGAGTTAATGTTCATTTTGATAACCTGGAGGAACCTCTGAGAACAGCGGTGGTGTCCATCTTTAGATTCAGTAGGGATTAATCAGAGCGTAATCGGGCCTACTCATAATGGTGGTCACACCTCTTGACCTCATACTAAATGCGGACTAAGTATAGAAAATTTGATAATTATGGATTTTTTTTACCCTCCACAGTGGTGGTTATCTCAGACCACCATCGTATCTCATTCATCATCCGTATGGATTATAATATCTAAACTAAACCCCCCCCGCTACACGTAAACACAACATTCATCAGCTACTGCACTGAGCTTCTAACTTCAATAACCAACCAAGAGACATCAGTTAGATTTGGATCAGCGCACTGATCAAGTAGATCTCGACCGGGCAACTGAAAGTTTGGAGTCATATCGTCACTCCATTTTCCTAGATAGAGTGGCTCACTCAAAGGGAAAATAATTAGACAAAAAATTAGCACCCTGGTATAATGATCTACTGTGATGCTTAAAGCAAAATCTAGACAATTAGAGCGTAAATGGTGCCAAACCAAGCTGGAGATATTTCAGACAGCATGGGAAAGAGAAAGCCTACTGCAATATAGAAATCTCTTGTAGATGCTAAAAGATGCTTACTTCTACAAATAAAGAGCAACCAACCACCCCCACCTTAATAAGAGGCAACCACCAACACTTCAGTTCCTCTTCAACACAGTAGCACAACTAAACTAAAACCACTTCAGGCGAAGACTAAAACCCCTTAAAAGGAAAAATCATTTCATAGCAGTGAGGATTTTTATGAAATTTTCATTTATAAAGTTGAAAATATTAGGATGAAATACAGGCCATTAAATTACAACCGTCAGTAATATAACAAACCATTAGATGACAATGGGCAATCCGGATCAATGCTTAGGTGTTTTGCTCCGCTTTATAGAGACCAGACCTAGCTACACTAATCTCATCAGCTAATTCATCAACCTGCATACTAGATCCCATACCTACATGTTTGTTTAAACAGATTTGTCCAGGAGTAATTAAGTCCTTTTTAAATATAGTAAGTTCCTCCTAACCACTGGCTATGTCCTAAATCTCTAAAATTAGCAGTTATTAAACCATTGATAAAAAACATAGACCTTGGCCCGTCTCAATTATCAATTATAGACCAATATCCAGATCTCCCCTTCATCTCTAAGATTCTAGAAAAGGTAGTAGCCAGCTGTTGTGCTCATAGCTGAAAGGAACAACATTCATGAAATGTATCAGTCAGGATTTAGACCTCATTCCACACAGAGACAGCACTAGTTAAAGTAGTAATAACTTATTCTGACCTCTGATCAGGGTTGTGTCTACGCTGCTTGTGTTACTAGACGATATGTGCAGCTTTCGATACCATAGGATCACCCTATTCTCCTTGATAGATTAGAAAAGTGTTGTTGGTATTAAGGGAACAGTTCTCTCTGGCTCCAGGTCTTATCTGACCGATCGTTATCAATTCGGATATAAATGGTGATTTCTCCATACTGTAGGTTACTTTTGAGTTCCCAGGGTTCTGTTTTAGGCCCACTCTTTATTTTATTATGTTACCCTAGGACTAATTAGTTCTTAAACATGGAATTAGCTTCCACTGTTATGCTGATGATACACAGCTGTATGTGTCAGCGAAGCCAGAGGACAGACAGAAGCTTAGTAAAGTGGAGGACTGTGTAAATGACATTAGATGTTGGATGTTAACTACTTCCTTTTACTTAATTCTGATAAAACAGAAATACTTTTATTAGGCGACGTGTAGCTAGGATGCTTCCAATCTTCCTGACTACAACAGTAACTCTGGATGGTCTTTCTGTTTCATCATGTACAACAGTTAAGAGCCTCAGGTGATTATTGACTCCAGTCTATCATTTGATGCTCATGTAGATAATATTACTAGGATAGCGTTCTTTCATCTTAGAAATATTTTAAGATAAGAAACATATTGTCACTTACATGATGTAGAAATACTGGTTCTATGCATTACATCACCTCTAGAGTTAGATTACTGTAATGCCTTACTGTCTGGATGTTTCCGGTAGATATAAATAAACTCAGTTAGTCCAGAATGCAGCTGCTAGAGTCCTTACTAGAACTAGAAGATGACGACCACATCACGATCTTATCCCACTGCATTGGCTCCGGTAAAATTTACGCATTAAGTTTAAAATACTTTTATTAACCTATAAAAAGCACTACGGTCCTGCACCACAATATCTAGCGACCTTCTGGTTTTATATGATGTCCGCGGCCTACCCAGATCAAAGGGATGCAGGCGTGTTTGATATTACCTAAGAATAGTGAAGTCTACAGCAGGGGAAGAAGCCTTACGACATTAAGAGCCCCACAGTTATGGAACAGTCTTCCTATTATTAGTGTTGGGACTCAGACCACAGTCTCAGTGTTTAAATCTAGGCTTAAACATATTTGTTGATACTCAAGCTTACCTGACTAGATTATAGCTTTCACTATTCACAATCCTAATGTTTTTCTCCCTCTCTCTCTTTTTGCGAGCCCCACACGAATTTATGGAGATATTGGAGATCCAGATCCCTCTGCCTCTGGATGAGCCCAAATCTTCTGCTGGGACTACAGCTGCTCCTAAAACCATACTTCTCATTTTTCACATTATCTGGTGTATTACATTCACATTCTGTGCTGCAAGATGAGGATGGGTTTTCCCTTCTGAGTCGGGTCTCACTCCTCAGGTTTCTTCCTCAAAAAACATCTTATGGGAGTTTTCCTTGCCACATAAGCCACTCAGTGGCTTGCTCAGATGGGATAAATTCCATTTGTTTTTACCTGTTTGTCTCTGTTTATCTGTTCCTGTTTGTCTCTCTTTAGATGTTTCTGACTGTTTCATACCTGTTTTTTATTTCTGTAAAGCTGCTTTTGAGACAATGACTATTGTAAAAGCGCTATACAAATAAAAAATTGAACTTTCTCTTATGCTAGTCACAAAGCACGTCCTAGTTTTTTTTTTCTCTCCTCCCTCCTTCACATGCCGAGAGCCACACCCGATTTTATGGAGATACTAGAGATCCTGAGTCCCTCTGCTCTCTGGACCTACCTGATCCATTTGGATGGCCTACCTCTGGATGGAGCTCTCATCTACTCCAATTCCAGATTGCTGGGACTACAGCTGCTTCTAAGGCACAAAGAGCTCCCATATGAATCCTAATCATTTTTCTACACTTATCTGAAGTGTTACGCAGATGAGGATAGGATTGGTTCTGATTCTGGTTCCTCTCAGGTTTGAATTCTTTAACCATCTTAGGAGGTTTCTCCTTGCACCATCACCACTTAGTGGCTTGCTCAGTTGGGATAATTTGCACCTTACTATCGATATACGAATGGTTTTATAGATATTACATGGATTGAGCTTAAACTTACACCTCCGATAGCTCAGTTGGTAGAGACGGAGGACTGTAGGTACTTAAACTAGTCATCCTCAGGTCACTGGTTCCATCGGCTCGAAGGACGGATTTCTCTGTGTGATATGGTTTCTTTTAAATGTTAATTTGGCCAGCGGTGGATAAAACACCATTCCCTGACCGGGAATCAGAGCCAGACGCTGCCAGCGGTGAGCCGAATCACCCTCCACTTAGACAACCAGGGACCGAAGCCAAAAAAATGGTGGCCTCTACACTAGCTATGCTGGCCAGTTTCTTCCATCAAAAGCTCACCTAAAGCTTGCACATGAGCATCAGCACAGAACAGTGGAGCAGTAAGAGGTGGCTTGGTCTGAGGAATCACGTTTTCTTTCACATCATGTACAGCTTAGGGTTGGGGTTAGAAAATGGCTTGAAAAGGCTTGAAAGATGCTTGGCCAGGGGTTGCACTAAGCTCATCTTCACGGCTCCCATTCCTGCTAAGGCTTGTAGAAGACGGTCCAATAGAGATGGTTAAGGCACGCCTCAACCATTCACACTAAATGTAAGCTAACGACTAGAAAGAGAACCAACTCCACTGCTTTGTTGCGAGATACTTACTGAGCAGGGTCCTAAGTGAAGCCTATACTTTTCTCAAACAAATTGCAGCATGGGAATACGTTCAGACATTGGTGAAACTGATGAAGCTAGGCTGTTTATGTAGTTGTGGCCAGTGGTTAAAGGCGATGGACTAGAAATCATTAGGGGCTCCCAGCACGGGTTCGACTCCCTGCCAACTACGTCTGAAGTTTGGTTTGCCTTTCAGACAGGCCAGGGTACTTAGCTAGCATTGGTGACAATCTTCCTCACTGTGCATTAATTGCTATTGTTCACGGTTGTTACATACCTGCTACTGAGAATTTGCCAATTGAACAAATGCAATACTTTTCATTCTGAGTCGGTGTCATTCCAATGAATGTTCAGGATCTGCCCAGCATCAAAATGGAAAGGGACAATAGCTCTGATGATAGTTCATGTGAAGAAAAAACAAACAAACACACAGTTGGCAGAATAAATTTCACCAAATTCACTAGGAACAGTTCAACAATCTGTATGAAGTGAAAAAATGTCACACGTTTCAACATTTCATATAATTGCTGCTCACTGAAAGGTATCAAGGCTTTCAGAAAATCACGTAAAACTGAAGTATATGTGATACAATTGGGGTATAACATCAGAGAATAGAGTGCGAGAAGACACATGAAGACAGTAATTCTTATTGCTGTCACTGAAAGGTATCAAGGCTTTCAGAAAATCACATTAAAACTGAAGTATGTGTGATACAATTGGGGTAACATCCAGAGATACATTGCAGCAGTCACAGAAAGACAGTAAAGTCAAATACACAGATGAGACCGCCCCAACGAGGAAGCTTATAAGATGATTAATGCAAATCAAGTTGCTCCTATTTGAAATGTCCGTGTGATTTCTTTTGAAAGTATTGGATGTTGTCCAAACTGTTTAACGTTTAATACATTGTAAAACAAAAATATAGTATCTTTAGTTGATTGAATCACCCAACATCACCCAACAAATAGTACTTACCATTCAGGAAGGTCAAGAGCCATTGATAGGATATCAACGGTGACAATAAGACAGATAGGTGGTCTACTTCTTTGCATCTTCTCCTGCCATGTTTACCATGACAAATGTAATCAGTGCATACCCGCTTTTCTAGAAGTTGTCCACTGAAGGGTTATACCAGTTGACTGCCCTTTTTCATTCTGAGGGGGCCTAGGTCAAGTGATGTTCATTGCAATGCTTGGAGTCTGATCATAAATTGAGATGATTCACAGTCCACCCACAGAAGCCAATGTGACAATAGAAGTGATGATGGCAGATCACTCCTTGTGAAGATGAACCAGGTCATTCACACGTTGACGAGCAGTTATCACGCTAGGTTGAGAGTAGGTACACAGCCAAATGATGCTTTCACTGATGTATTAAAAAGTATTGCTCTAAGAGTTTCAACACATGTTTCACTAAGCATATATTGAGAATTTTAATAGATATTTATAAAAAGCCTTTTGGTTAGAATCTCAACAACAATGAATGTGATTATAGTTTCTACATCCACATTTGTGGTGTCCAAATTCACTGAAAGTTGCCCAAGCTTGTTAGCACTTACTTTAAAACTGCAGTAAATGTGTGCTACAATTAGGGTGACTTTCAGCCAAAGCTATCATTAGGACTCACACAAAGTAAGTAATGTCAAAATACACAGCTAAGACTGCCCCAAAGAGTAGCACTTATTGATGAAATCAGTGCTTCTATTTCCTGTAATGTAATGGTGTTTTATTTGAGGAAGAAGGTATTGTCTGTCAAACCTACGAATGAGAGGACTTGCATTAAACCTGCATTAAAAGTCTTCTTGATTCAAATCAGACTGTGCAACAGCAGATTGGCAGTCCATCAACTTAACCTATTGCTGACATAACTCACACTTATGAAATTACATGTGCCAGTCTGTAGGGGTCTGTGGGAGAATAAAGGAGGATGTGATGCACATTGTTTGCACCTGCATTCAGCAATTCTACTTTTTCATGTTTCTCCACCCACACTTGTTCTGTCTCATGGATCTGTCCAGAGCCTGTCACCTGTAGGCCTTGTATGTGTGAGACAGACTGCACCCAAGCCAGAGGGATTGTTGTAAAGTGGAGGCAAAACAACCTGTCTACGATGAGGGTGGGACACAAAGACCGCAGCGTGCAGAGCACAATGGATTAGCAGTCCATGTTGTAACCTCTCAGCCACCTCATCCGAAAGCCTTTCCCAGATCCTCCAAATAAAATTTTTGCCTAGCATGATACACTTTAACAAACATGTGTTGTGAAGGTCAGACTTTGACTGATCCTGTTCCTCCAAATCAGACATGAGTACTCACTCACACCATGATTGTTATGCCACAGACTGAAAACAACCTGACACTGAATTTCCCCTTCAAACTAACAGCTCACGCATATGCCCCAACTTACTAGCACTTACTTTAAAACTAAGTAAATAATGCTACAATTAGAGATTGACTTTCAACCGAGAAGCATACGCACGGGACTCACACAAAGTAAGTAATGGACAAATACACAGATGAGACTGCCAAGCGTAGCACTTATTGATGAAATCGGTGCTTCTAACAGTTCTAAGTGTTGCTTCTATTTCAAGTTATTTAATTGTGCTTTATTTGCGTGTGTGGCTATACCGAGCATGGTCCCGAGCACTGTAGCTTATGTGTCGGGATGGCCGAAACGGTCTAAAGGCGCTCTAATTCAGGTGCGGTCTCCCCCTGAGGCGTAGGGTTTCAAATCACTGCCTGACATTTGGTTTCGTTGCTGCACCTCTGATGAGGGGGGGTATTGGGCTGTTCACTGAAGGCTTGTTTAAATAAATGCCCCTGCATAGTTTGAATTTCCTTTGCATAGTTTTTGGGTCTTTTAGTCAGGATGGTCGAGTGGTCTAAAGGCGCTGTATTAGGGTTTCAGTTTCTTCTGGAGGTGTGGGTTCATCCGCTTCTGACATGCTGCACTTTGTTGATAAGACTGTTCATAATGTAGTTGACATGCTGGGGTGCAGTTGAGTGGGCAGGTGTGGTTAGTGTGAATGATCTCACGCAGGTGTTGGGTTAGGTTTGATATCCTTAATGGCTTGTGTTCATAGGTTGATTGTGTTTATATATGTATGATTGTGTTTTTATACAACTTAAACACCGGTCTTACCACTAGACAACCAGGGATGAAAACCAAGAAAATGGTGGCCTACACTAGCTATGCTGGGTTCTTCCTCAAACTTAGAAAAGGGAACAAAGGAGCAGTGGAAGGGTGTGAGGTGTTTTCTTTCACACCAGTGCACAGGGTTAAAAATATTTGGTTAGAATTTTCAACACCTTCTTTCTTCCTCTCAATTCAAGGGAGGAGGCTCTTGTCTGGCTGGTAAGGCTTGAAAAGACAGCTTGGCAAGGAGTTGCAACTTAACCTTGTCTTACGCTCCATTCTGGTAAAGGCTTGAGGCAGCAGAGGAGTTGCACTTAAGAACATGCTAAGCATCCTGGAAAGGCTTGTAAGAGCGGTCCAATAGAATGGATTGGCCGCTGCTCAACCATTCACACTAAATGTAACTACTAAACTGTATTATTCTCTTAACATACTAGAAATGTATTAAATGGTAAAACAGGATATTTGCTGGAATTACTGACTCACTACCCGCTGGTGAGTGGCGTAGCTCCTTTGAGTTAATGTTTTTGTAGACTGTGTTTCACGTCAAGTATTAGAATGATATTGTATTAACCGTTGCATACCCTTAGGCAGTAAAGGAGGCTTGCTGAGGAATCCACGTTTTCTTTCACCATGTACAGCTTAGGGTTAGGGTTAGAGAAATGGCTTGAAAAGGCTTGAAAAGACGCTTGGAGGAGGTGCACTTAAGCCCCTGTCTTATGCTCCATTCCTCACTAAGGCTTGTAAGGAAAACGGTCCAATAGAGATGGTTCATTACGCCCACGCTTAAGCCTTGTCCCTGTACCCTTACCGATTGATGGCCAACAGAATATGGCACTGGACTTTGAACTGCACTGAGACGCACTGTTGAGTTGAAGCCTGTGAACCTGAATGCTAATCCAGGAAGATCTTTATGAAGATGACAAAGCATGGTTGTCAAAACAGCTCGTTATGACACATCTTCCATCCTGGGAATTGCATTTGGCGTAAGGAGATCAAGCAGATCTTTCTTTGAGACAGGCCTCCACTGTAAAGCTACACAAATAAATTGGTTTGGAACTGAATCGAATGTACATGTAAAGTTGTAAATAGTTCAGTTACTTAATTGAAGTAAATGTATTGAAGAAGAACGCGAAACATGAATATAAGATGCACAAACCGTTTAATGGCTCCAGAAAATAGTCTAGTGTTCGCCGTCACTTTGCCGCTTTGCTTGTGAAACCGTTCGAATAAATCGATCCTAGTTGCTAGCTCCTTATGAATATAAAATGTTTTATATTATAAAATACTATTAGTAACCCACAATTAACTAGTGTCTGTGCCGCAGTATCTAAGCGACCTTTTGCTTCTTTCCTGTTCGGGCACACACTTGTAGATCTTCCAATTTAGGTTCAGGACTTGAGCACAGTCTCCCAGGTGTCTTTAATATTTGTTTAATCCAAGCCTACCCTGACTGGGCTTTCTCTTATGCTAAAAGCACAGTCTAGTTTCTTCTCCCTCTGGCTTTCTGTGAGCCACACACCGATTTTATGGAATGCAGGGTCCTAGTCCTCTATCCTCCTCTTCAGACCTGCGCAGGTCTTGGCTGGGACAGCCTGCACTCTGGATGGGGCTCTCGCTCATGTTTCTAATTCAGTTGCTGGGACTTCTAGCTGCTTCCTAAGGCCAAAGAGACTCCCATATGAATCCCATAATCATCTTTTTCACACACTATCTGATCTTACCCAGATGAGGATGGGGTTCCCTTCTGATTCTGGTTCTCTCGAGGTTTGTTCCTCTGTATGTAGGGAGTTTTCCTTGCCACCGTCTTATGGTGACACTCAGTTAGGATAAATTCGCACATATAAATCTGGATAGTTTTATAGAATACATGGATTGAAACTTGCTTCGCCTCAGTTGGTAGGCGGGAGGATTAGTGTAAACAGTATCTGGGTGTGGTTTCCAATCCGGCTCGAAGGACAGTTCTCTGTGTGATATGGTTTCTTTTTAAATATTAATTTGGCCAGCGGTGGATGACACTGACAGGATTGAACCCGGGTGAGGCGCCAGATCCTTACACTAGACAACAGGGTGAAAAGGCAGGAAAATGGTGGCCTCTACACACTAGCTATGCTGGCAGTTCTTCCATCAAAAGCTCATAGAAACTGCACAGGCATCAGCACAGGACAGTGGAGCAGTGAAGGTGGGCAGGTCTGAGATCATTCTTGCATGGTGGCTGGGTTTGGGGTTGAAATGGCTTGAAAACGAAAGATGCTTATTGGGTTGCACTTAAGCCCTGTGCTCCATTCCTGCTAAGGCTTGTAAAGACGGTCCAATAGGTTAGGCCGCCGCTCAACCATTCACACTAAATGTAAAGCTAACGACTGAAGAGACCAACTCCTGCTTTGTTGCGAAATACGACAGGGTCCTAAGTAGGCCTATACATTCTCAAACAAATTGCAGAATACGTTCCAGACATTGGTGAAGCGATGAAGCAAAGGCACATTTTATGTAGTTGTGGCCGAGTGGTTAAAGCGATGGAATGAAATCATTGGGGTCTCCAGCGCAGGTTCGACTCCTGCCAACTCGTCTGAAGTTTGGTTTACCCTTTCAGACAGGCCAGTGCTTGCAGCCCAGCATTAGTGACGATACCTTCCTCCTGTGAATAATTACTGTTCTGGTTATTTGCATACCTGCTATTCTACTGAGAATTTGCCAATTGAACCGATACCCAATGCTTTTCATTCTGAGTCCGGGTTAATTTCAATATGAATGTTCAGGATCTGCACAGCATGCAAATAAAAGGACAATAAATAAATGATAGTTCATGAAGAAAAACAAACAAACACACAGTTGGCAGAATAAATTTCACCAAATTCACAAGACGGTTCAACAATCTGTAAGTGAAAAATGTCTACGTTTCAACATTTCATATTATTAACATCACTACCAGAAAGGTATCAGGGCTTTTCAATCACATTAAAACTGAGTATATGTGATACAATTGAGAACATCAGAGATACATTGCAGCAGTCACAGAAGACAGTAATTCCATGTGCAATGCTGAAAATATCAAGGCTTTAATCGTAAAACTGAAGTATATGTGATACAATTGGGTAACATCAAGTACATTGCAACGGTGCGAGACTGAAGTAAAGTCAAATACTGAATTGGGACACCCCAACGAAAACACCCACAGATATAATAATGCAAATCAAGTTGCTCCTATTTGGGCTGATCAGTTTCTTTTGAAAGTATTGGATGTTGTCCAAACTGTTTAGCAACGTTTAATACGTATAAACAAATATAGTATCTTTGGTTAGTTGAATCACCCAACATCACCCAACCGATAGTACTTTTTCATTCAGGAAGGTCAGAGCGGCTGGAAATACAGGATATCATGGTGACAATAAGACGAATAGGTGGTCTGCTTCTGCATCTTCTCCTGCCATGTTTACCATGACGATCCATGATAGTGCATGCCTGCTTTCTAGATGTCACAGTTACAGTTGACCACTTTTTGTTCAGAGGCCTGGGTCAAGTGATGTTCATTGCAATGCTTGGGGTCTGATCGTGGTGGATGATTACAGTCCAACCCACAGAAGCCAATGTGACAATAGAAGTGATGATGGCAGATCACTCCTTGTGGAATGAACCAGGTCATTCACCGTTGACGGAAACGTTTTATCCGCTGATTTGAAGTAGGTACACAATAAATGATGCTCTCACTGATGTATTAAAATGTGCTCTAAGAGATTTCAACATGTTTCACTAAGCATCGTGCAGAATTTTTAATAGATATTTATAAAGAAACACTTTAGTTAAGTCTCAACAACAATGAATGTGATTATGAACATACATTTGTGGTGTCCAAATTCACTGAAAGTTGCCCCAGCTTGTTACTTTTCCTTTAAAAACTGCAGTAAATGTTTCTGAACTAAATTGTTTCAATAGAAAAGCATCTATGGACTCACACAAAGTAAGTATATCAAATACACAGCTGGTTCTTTAAAGTAACACTTATTGATGAAATCAGTGCTTCTATTTTCCTGTAATGTAATGGTGTTTAATTTGGACAGTATTGTCTATCAAATACGAATGAGAACTTGCATTAAACCTGCATTAAAAGTCTTCTTGATTCAAATTCAGACTGTGCACATGAGACAAGCAGTCATCAACAACCTATTGCTGACCTGCTCACACACTTATGAGTACATGCCAGTCTGTGGAGTCTGTGGAGAATAAAGGATTTGATGCATTGTTTTGCCATTGCAATTCTAGCTCATGTTTCTCCACCCACACTTGTTCTGTCATGGATCATCAGAGCCTGTCACCTATAGGCCTTATGTGTGGACAGACTGCACCCAAGCCAGAAGGTTGTTGTTGTAAGTGGAGCCGACAACCTGTCTGCAGTGAGGTGGGACTCCAACCGCAGCGTGCAGGCACAATGGTTTTGAGTCATCGCCTTAACCTCTGATTCTGCACCTCATCCAAGCCTTTCCAGATCCTCACAAATAAAATTTTACTGCTGATACGCTAACAAACATGTGTTGTGAGGTCAGACTTTGACTGATCCCTGTTCCTCAATCAGACATGGTACTCATACGACTACTGGTTGTATAGACTGAAACACCTGACACTGATTTCCCCTTCAAACTAACAGCTCACGCTTATGCCCCAACACTAGCACTTACTTTAAACTGCAGTAAATATGCTACAATTAAGATGACTTTCAACCGAGAAACATGGGACTCACACAAAGTAAATAAATACACAGATGAGACTGCTAAAGGTAGCATATGGTAAATCAATTGCTTCTTCTAAATAATCTAATTGTGCTTCCATTGAAGTAATGGCTATACCCGAGCTGGTCCACGACATGGGCGCATCAGGATGGCCCGAACGGTCTAAGGCGCTACGTTCAGGTCGCAGTCTCCCCACAAATGGGTTTAAATCCATTTCTGACATTTGGTTCCTTGCCTCTGATGAGGTATTGGGCTGTTCAGAGCAAACAATAAATACCCTGCATAGTTTTGGAATTTCCTTTGCTTCGTTTTAGTTCGGATGAGTCTGGTCTAAAGGCGCTGTATTAAGTTTCCAGTCTCTTCTAGGTGTGGTTCCAGAATGCGACATGACATGCTTTGTTGGATAAGACTGTTCTGGTTGACATGCTGGGTGCAGTTGAGTCAGGCAGGTGTGGTTGATAGGGTAGTCTACGGCGGAGTGTTGGGTTTAGTTTGATTACCTGCCTTGTTCATGTGCTTGTGTTCCTGGGGGCGTAAACGTGGTGTGTTTATATATGTATGATTTGCTTGACACAGTTATCTTCCTGAACCAAACGAGGATGAAAACCAAGAAAATGGTGGCCTCTACACTGGTTATGCTGGCCAGTGTCTTCATCAAAAACTCATAGAAAATCCATGAGCATCAACTACAGGACCATGGAGCAGTAAGAAGGTGGCTTGGTCTGGCGAGATCATCATTTTCTTTTCACACAACACAGCTTAGGGTTATAATAATAATAATAATAATAATAATAATAATAAACTTTATTGGGGTTGAAATGGCTCGAAAAGGCGAAAAGACGCTTTTGCCCAGGAGTTGCGCCAATCCTTCATACGCTCAATTCCTGTTAAGGCTTGAAAAGGCAGCTTGGCCAGGGTTGCATAATCCTTGTCTTCGCTCCATTCCTGGTGGGCTTGTAAAGGCAACAGCAGGAGTTGCGCCCAGCCTTGTCTTACGCTCCATCCTGGAAGGCTTGTAAAGACGGTCCAATAGAATGGTTAGGCCGCTGCTCAACCATTCACACTAAATGCAAACTAACAACTGACTGTATTATCTCTAACATGCTAAGGCTATAACCATCTAGGTAAAACAGGATGTTGCTGGAATTGCAGCTGCTACCGCTGGTGATGGTAGCTCCTTTGAGTTAAATGTTTTTGTAACTGTGAAGTAGTAAATGATGTGTATTAACAGTTGTGAGCAGTAAGAAGGTGGCTTGGTCTGAGGTGTTCATCATGTACAGCTTAGGGTTGGGGTTAGAAATGGCTTGAAAAGGCGAAAAAAGCGCTTAGCCAAGGAGTTGCATAGCCCTGTCTTATGCTCCATTCACTAAGGCAACAAGGCGGTCCAATAGAATGGTTAGGCCCGCCGCTTAAGCCTTGTCCTGTACCCATGCCGAGATATTGTAGAATATGGCACTGGACTTGAACTGCACTGAGGGCTTTACCTGTGCAGGTTGAAGCCTGCTATGAACCTGATTGTATGGAGAATCTTTATGAATGAGCAACAAGCACCTTAGCATTCATCAAACAAGCTTCGTGCCGACATCTTCATCCTGAAATTGCATTGGCGTAAAGGAAGTCAAACGAATCCTGCTTTGAGACAATCTCCACTGTAAGCGCTACACAAATAAAATTGATTTGAACTGGATCGAATGTGTACATGTAAAGTTGTAAATGTCTAGTTACTTAGTGATAAATGTATGTTGAAGAAGAGCAGAAACTGCTGAAATATAAAGATGCACAAACACGTTATTGGCTCCAGAAAAATAGTCTAGTGTTCAGATAACTTTGCTTGTGAAAGTGAAATTCGAATAGAAAATCGATCGTTTATAAACTCACTTATCAAAGATAACTATAAAATACTTTATATTATAAAAATACCTTGAGCCATAATTAACTAAATGGTTCTAGCCACATGATATCTAGCGACCTTTTTGCTTTTCTATGATCCGCCACGCCTACTTAGATCAAAAGATGCAGGCTATTTGTTCGCACCTCTCTCGAATAGCGAAGGCTACAACAGGAGGATGAGCTTTCTCTTCTAGACCCCACACTTATGGAACAGTCTTCCAATTAGGTTCGGGGACTCAGGCACAGTCTCAGTGTCTAGAGCTTTAATCGGTATTTGTTTAATCAAGCCTACCCTGACTAGACTTTCTCTTATACTAAGCAGTCCTAGTTTTTCTCCTATCCTTCATTGAGCCACACCCGATTTTATGGGTGGGAGATGCTAGGGTCCTGATCCCTCATCTGGATACCATTGATCCATTTTGGATGACTACCTCTGGATGGCTCTCATCTACTCCAATTCAGATTGCTGGGACTACAGCTGCTTCTAAGGCCAAAAGAGACTCACTTGAATCCCATAATCATCTTTTTTTTCACACTATCTGATGTTACCCAGATGAGATAGGTTTCCCTTCTGATTCTGGTTCCTCTCAGGTTTGTTCACTCTTAACATCTTGAGGAGTTTTTTTTCCTTGCCCTACGTCACCACTTGGTGGCTTGCTCGATGGATAGTCACTGTATATATCGATATACCCGAATGGTTTTTATAGATGTCATGGATTGAGCTTTGCTTCACCTCGATGGCTCAGTTGGTAGGCGGACTGTGGAAGTGCCAAACTAGTGTACTCAGTCACTGGTTCCAATCCGGCTCGGGGGCCAGTTTCTCTGTCAATGATATGGTTTCTTTTAAATGTTAATTTGGCCAGCGGTGGATAACACCATTCCCTGACGGGAATCGAACCCGGGCCGCAGCGCCAGATCCTTACTGACGACTGGGACGAAGCAAAAGGCTGGTGGCCTCTACCTTCCTTCCATGCTGTTGGTTTAACAATAAAAGCTCATAGAAACTGCACATGAGCATCAGCACAGGACAGTCGAACAGTAGAAGATGCGACGGTCAGGGAATCGTTTTTCTTTCACATCATGTACAGCTTAGGGTTGGGGTTAGAAATGGCGAAAGGCTTGAAAAAGATGCTTGGCCAGGAGTTGCTAAGCCCTGTCTTCGCTCCATTCCTGCTAAGGCTTGTAAAGAGCGGTCAATAGAATAGTTAGGCCCGCCGCTCAACCATTCACACACTAAATCAGCTAACGACTGAAAAGAACCAACTCCACTGCTGTTTGCCGAGAAATACCTGAGCAGGGTCCTAAGTGAAGCCTATGCATTTCTCAAACAAATTGCATGAGATACGTTCAGACGTTGATACGACGATGAAGCAAAGGCTGTTTTATGTGGTTGTGGCCTTGCAGTGGTTCAAAGACTAGAAATCCATTAGGGTGCTCCCAGCGCCCAGATTCGACTCTCCTGCCAACTCTACGTCTGTAGAGATTTGGTTTCAGACGATGTGCCAGCTAGCATTAGTGACAATCTTCCTCACTGTGCATTAATTGCTGTTCACAGTTGTTACATACCTGCTATTCTACTGAGAATTTGCCAATTGAACAAATGCAATGCTTTTTCGTTGTACGAGTCCGGGGTCATTCAATGAATGTTCAGGATCTGCCCAACATCAAATGAAGGGACAATAAGCGCAAATGATAGTTCATGTGAAAAAAAATAAACAAACACACGGTTGGCAGAATAAATTTCACCAAAATTCACTGCGGGAGCAGTTCAACTTAATCTGTATGAGTGAAAAAATGTCACCGTTTCAACATTTCATATTATTGCTGTCACTGAAGGTATCAAGGCTTTCAGAAATCACAGTAAAACTAGAGTATATGTGATCTGGTGGGTAACATCCAGAGATACATTACCTTGATCACAGAAGACCAGTAATTTCATATTATTGCTGTCACTGAAAATCAAGGCTTTCAGAAAATCATTAAAACAAGTATGTGACTACAGTGGTTAACAGCCAGAGATACATTACGACGTCCTGAAGAACAGTAGTCAAATACACAGTGCGGACTGCCCCAACGAGAAGCTTACAGATATGTGTGCAAATCAAGTTGCTCCTATTTGAGTAATCAATTGTGATTTCTTTTGAAAGTATTGGACATCCAAACTGTTTAACACGTTTAATACATTGTAAACAAAAATATAGTATCTTTAGTGATTGAATCACCCAACATCACCCCAACAAATAGTACTTACCATTCAGGAAGGTCAGAGCCATTGATAGGATATCAGCGGTGACAATAAGACAGATAGGTGGTCTACTTCTTTGCATCTTTACCATGACAAATGTAATCAATTCATGCCTGCTTTCTAGAAGTTGTCCACTGAGAGTTTACCAGTTGACCACTTTTTCATTCTAGGGCTGGAATGAAGTGATGTTCATTTACAATGCCCAGGAGTCCAATCGTGAGCTAAGGATAATTCACAGTCAAACCCGAAGCCAATGTGATAATAGAAGTGATGATGTGGTCACTCCTTGTGAATAGACCGGGTCATTCACGTTGACAGACAGTTGTCACGCTAGGTTGAGAGTAGGTACACCTTTAATGAGCCTGCTCTCCTGAGCCATATTAAAAGTATTGCTCTAAAGTTTCAACACATGTTTCACTAAGCATGGTAGAAATTTTAATAGATATTTATAAAAACACTGATTAAGATCTCAATAACAATGGTATGGTTGGTTTCACACTCCACATTTGTGGTGTCCAAATTCTATGAAAGTTGCCCCAGCTTGTTAGCATACTTTAAAACTGCAGTAAATGTACTACAATTAGGAGTGACTTTATAGCCAGCTATCGCCGTTCACAAAGTAAGTAATGTCAAATACACAGCTGGACAATCAGTTCTTCCTGTGTAATTGGACAACTGTCTGTCAAACTACAAATGAGGCTGCATTAAACCTGCATTAAAGTGCAGTTAATCCAGACTGTGCACAGCAGATTGACAGTCCATCAACAACCTATTGCTGACATAACTCACGCCTGAAATTACATGCCAGTCTGTGGAGTCACCAGCCGGAGAATAAAGGAGGATTTGATGCATTGTTTGCCATTGCAATTCTAACCTCATGTTTCTCCACCCCACCTTGTTCTGTCTGGATCTGTCAGAGCCTGTCACCTGTGGGCCTTAACGAGACAGACTGCACCCAAGCCAGAGTTGGTGTTGTAAAGTGGAGGCAAACAACCTGTCTGCGATGAGGTGGACTCCAACCCAGCGTGCAGAGCCTGTGGTTAACCATCGTAACCTCTGGTCACTGTCAGAAAGCCTTTTCAGATCCTCTGAAATAAAATTTTGCCTAGCATGATACACTTCAACAAACATGTGTTGTGGAGGTCAGACTGTTTTGATCTGTTCCTCGATCAGACATGGTACTCAACTACACACAGTTGTTATCTATGACGCCTGACACTGGTTCCCCCTCAAACTAACAGCTCAACTTATGCCCCAACACTAGCACTTACTTCGACTGCAGTAAATGTGCCTGGTAGGGTGTTTTTTCAGCAGAAATGTCACGGGACTCACACAATCAATGACAAATACACCAGGATGAGACTGCCCCCAAGGTAGCACTTATTGATGAAATCAGTGCTTCTATTTCAATATCTAATTGTGCTTTATTTGGAAAGTATTGGCTATACCGAGCATGGTCCCGCGACCTGTAGCAAGTGTCAGGATGGCGATGATTCTAGGGCCTTCGTTCGGAGCAGTCTCCTGGGCGTGGTTCAAATCCATTTCTGACGTTTGGTTCTTTGCTGCACCTCTGATGAGGGGTATTGGGCTGTTCTGAGGCTTGTTTAAATAAATGCCCTGCATAGTTTGGAATTTCCTTTGCATAGTTTTTTGGTTCGACTCAGGATGGTCCAGTGGTCTAGGCGCTGTGTTAAGGTTTCCAGTCTCTTCTGGGTGTGGGTTCAAATCCCACTTCTGACATGCTGCACTTTGTTGATAAGACTGTTCATAATGTAGTTGACATGCTGGGTGCGGTTAATTAGGAATGGAGACAGTTGGTGTGAATGTGATCTCACAGGTGTTGGGTTTAATTTGATTACCTGCCTTATTCAATAATCTTTATGTTTCCTAGGGCGTCATATAGTTGTGACATGTATATGATTGTGTTTATACAACTTAAACACCGGTCTTACCATGGAGCAACCAGGGATGAAAACCAAGAAAATGTTAGCCTCTACACTGGTGTATGCTGTGATGTCTCTTTCCATCAAAAAACTCATAGAAAATCACATGAGCATCAGCACAGGACCATGGGGCAGTAAGAAGGTGGCTTGGTTTGAGGTGTTTTCTTTCACACCATGTGCAACAGGGTTATAATAATAATACTAATAATAATAATAATAAACTTTATTGGGGTTGGAAATAGCTCGAAAAGGCTTGAAAAAGGCCAACGCTGCCCAGGAGTTGCACTTAATCCTTGTCTTGCGCTCAATTCCTAGTAGAGAGCTTGAAAGGCGGCAGCGAGGAGTTGCATGAAGAGCGATGTGTCTTACGACTGTTCCTGGTAAGGCTTGTGAGCCAAGGAGTTGCACTTAAGCCTTGTGCTCGGCTCCATCCCTAGAAGGCTTGTAAGGCGGTCCAATAGAATGGTTAGGCCGCTGCTCAACCATTACACTAAATATAGCTAACAACAAACTGTATTATCTCTCTTAACATACTAGAAATGTATTAAATGGTAAAACAGGATATTTGCTGGAATTACCCAGCTGCTACACTGGTGGTGGCGTAGCTCCTTTGAGTTCGTGTTTTGTAACTGTGTTTTAAGTCAAGTATTAAATGATGTGTATTAACGTTGCACCCTTGAGCAGTAAGAAGGTGGCTTGGTCTGAGGAATCACGTTTTCTTTCACATCATGTAAGCTTAGAGTTATAGGTTAAAATGAGCAAAAGGAAGCTGAAAAGGCAACTTGAGCAGGGTTGCTCAAATGCTCCATTCCTATGAGCTTGTAAAGAGCGGTCCAATAGAATGGTTAGGCCCGCGGCAAGCCTTGTCCTGTGCCCCATACCCGTGATGGCCAACAGAATGGCACTGGACGGGCCTTTTCAGGGCTTTACCTGTGCAGTTTGATACTGAACCGGTCTGCTCCCAGAATCTTTGCATGAAGATGAGCAACAGTTTTCTGTGACAACGGCACAATCAAACAAGCTCGTACCAAGCATCTTCCATCCTGGGAAATTGCATTGGCGTAAAAAAGAAATTAAGCGAATCCTGCTTTGAGACAATGTCCACTGTAAAAAGCGCTACACAAATAAAGGTGATTTGAACTGGATCAGATATTGTACTTTAGTTATCGTGGTCTAGTTACTTAGTGGAAGTAATTCGTGAAGAAGGATAGAAACATGAGAATATAAAAGATGCACACAAACGTTTATTGGCTCAGAAAATGATCTAGTGTTTCCTTGATCCAGCTGCCCTTTTGCTTGAAGAGCAAAATTCAATAGAAAATGGAGTCTACGTTTAGCTCACTTATGAATAATATAAAATACTGTATTATAAATACCGTGTAACCCATAATTAACTAAACGATCTGTGTTTCGCAGTATCTAAAAGCGACCTTTTGGCTTTCTATGATCCATACGCCTACTTAGATCAAAGATGCGCAGGCTATTTGTTGCAGCACCTCGAATAGCGAAGGCTACAACAGGAGGATGACTTTCTTCTGGAGCCCCACACTTATGGAACAGTCTTCAATTAGAGGTTGGGACTGGAGGCACAGTCTCAGTGTCCTAGGCTTTAATCCGTATTTGTTT